CCCTTGGAACAGGCAGACTTCATAGATTCTGGTCATGCAGGGTTTGTGCATGTGGAAAGGAATTCTCTAGGCAGCAAGCATATAGTTTCTATTCTTTCCAACAAGAGTTTCTTACAAAGGATCCCTTTGGTGGCTATAACCTCCAAGAAAACCTTGAACTGCAAATAGGCCTGCAACTCTGGCCTCCCTTAATCCTGGACTTAATGTGTGCACACATGTGTACATTCACTTTTCTTTCTCTTTTTTTTCCTGCTTCTTTTTCCAAAAAATTCTCCATAAAATCTATTTCTGTACATCAAGAATTCTTAATGGGTTTATTATTTTTGAGCCAAATGTTATATTCATTATTTTGTATTGTATGTGTTTTATATGCTTTTCTACATTAAAAATTTGCCCCCCAAAATAATGCTGGAATTTAATTCTCAAAGGGGACAGAACATGGACCTTATTGTCAAGTAGCCGTGTGCCATCATGAACCAAGAGCCCACTTTCCTAGAGCGAGTGGGCATGGCCCTGATCCTCACCGCTCAGTCAACCTCTGACCGCCCTCTCACATGGGATCTCGCCCAGTTCTTCTTACCTCAGAGAAGTTTCCCTGACAGTTTATTCTCTTATACACACACAAAAAGATTCCTGCTTCTGAGGAAAATGTGTCCATTATATAACTTTTATTTACTTGTGGGAAAATTAAAGTTTAAAAGGTTCTGGTAAATCTCTCTTACTGAACTTCCTTTGAAAACCTGATTAGGTACTTTCCTTAAAACTAGTAATTTTTAAAGGAGAGGAATGATAATAATAATAATCTATATATATAAAAGGCTAAGTGTCCGTCCGTCCGTCCGACCAGTAGCTATGATGCGAACTGACCACCAGGGGGCAGACGCTCAACACAGGAGCTGCCATGATGCACACTGGCCATTTAAAAATAAACCACACTGCGGACCTGGTGCCGACAAACCAACACTTGGCTTCCCCCAAGTGGGACACAGGCCCGGCCACCACCCCGTAGCGACACCCCACCAAATCTCAGCCAACGCTGTCAAGACCCCATGGCGCAAAATGCAGCCCACAGCCCAGCCCAGCTCATGAACTTGACCTTCATAATCACTCAATCTTCTCACTTTACCAGCATGTCAGTCACTCAGAGAAGCCTAAAGAAGTGGGAATAGCCCTAACTGGTTTGGCTCAGTGGATAGAGCATCGGCCTGTGGACTGAAGGGTCCCAGGTTCGATTCCGGTTAAGGGCGTGTACCTTGGTTGTGGGCACATCCCCAGTAGGGGGTGTGCAGGAGGCAGCTGATTGAGGTTTCTCTCTCATTGATGTTTCTAATTCTCTATCCCTCTTCCTTCCTCTCTGTAAAAAAATCAATAAAATATATTTTTTAAAAAAAGAAGTGGGAATATTTTTCTAAAATGCTACTGATAGTGAAACTAATTTTTCCATGAGTAAAACTAATAATTCCTTCAAGTTTTAATGATTGAGGAGTCAATTCAATTGAGATTGTAAACTAAGTAAAAAAATAAATAATTTTTCTAAAGAAAAAATATATTTTGCCAAATTTTCTGTAACAATTCTTTTTCATGAATTTATAAGAAACTTTAGTACTTATGTCAACCATTAGGCTTTCATGAAGTGTCTTTCTTGGGGGGTAAGTGTGTAATTTGTCTTTTGAATCATTTATTGTTTTACTCTGGCCTTGGCCCTTAGTCCCCCCAACAGTGGTTTGTGCTCTTTGGGGACATTTTGCCTGTTGGTTGTCACCTTAAACCAGCTCTGCCTTGAGTTTGCCCTGTACTGTCTCTTCAACGTTTCTTCTCTGTGGATGGCACCTCTGTTTTGATTTTTGATTTTGTTTTACAGAAGTGTTCCATCTCCCTAAAAACCTTGAATAGAGAGAATGGAACTCAACACAAGTGATTAAAAGTACATGTTTTATTCCCTCGGATGGGAGGGTAAGAAAAGGTATGAGTTTTCATCATAAGGGAAGTGAAAGAGAGGAGATAACCTAATGTCTGACAATATCCGTGAAGTACCAAGGCCACCTGTAGTGGATGGTGTCAGATCTTAATGAGAGATATCTTATCCCCATTAGGACCAGCCTGCAGGGCGGTGTGGGCACAGGACAGGGGGCTGAGCCAATGGCTGCCCTCCAAAGATCAGGATGTGTACCTTTGCAGGAATCTTCTGCCCATGGAATTTTATCTCTTTATTTCTCATCTCTTCCTTTCTATTATTACTAAGATTCAAACACTTTCTGCTACTTGTTGACATAAGAAACATCCAAACCTATAAAGATCTTTTATGAGTTTATTTGAACCAAACTGCCAGGAAGCAAAATTTCACATGCTTCAGAGAATGACAGCTTTGCAGCTTCTTTGTTGTATTTGAAATTAATGAGAGAGCATACAGAAGATTACAAGGAGGTGGAAGAAAGCAAGGCAGGGATTGGATTACAGAATAGTTAGACTCAGAAAATCTGAGTTCAAATACTGTATTTGCCACTCCCCTAAACAGTAAATAAATACCCTCTGGTTTGGGAGTTTAAGGTTTTGCCCTGTGAGAAATGGGAAATAATAGACCCCTACCAGGATTGATGTGTGATGTACAGGAAACAGGTGAGTCTCAAGGAGAGGTAGTCAATGAAGAATCCAGAGGAAGGGGGGTGAGGGGCATTGTCACCGGAGCACAGATGGGAGAAATAACATTGACAAAGAGAAGTGCTTGTCCACTTAAGATGTGAGAGCAGCTTAGAACCCGTGACACCGCGGGCAACACCTCAGTGGCTCTGTCAGTAATAGGTGAATGTGCTATGAAATTCATCTGTACAGAGATATTTATATTCAATTCATTGTGTTCATCTGTGGAGCAAGAGGACCAGCCCCATGAATGTGTATAGGAAAACGACTCCTTGGAACTCATGAGCCCTGTATTCTGGACAGTTGCACAGAAAGCTTATGCTGTACTTGTTCCTGAAATCCTGTGCCTGAAAAGGAAAGTTTAAAGACACCTCTCTAGGTTATGTCCCAAATCAGAGCAGAGACAACCAGTTTCCAAAGGCAGTGTGTTGTTAAGGCTCAGCTTCAAAATCGCCTGGCCAGCTTTATGCCTCACTTGGAAGCATTAATGAGTGTCTTGCATTTACGACACTTTGAAGTTGTTAAATGGAAATAGGTCATTAGATTAACACGTACTTTACAAATATTCCATTATTTCCCAGATTCCCCACTGAGTAAAAGAGGCATCTGCAAATCTAATTTGAAAGATTGGTTTGAAGTGAAGCTTTGGCAAACTTCCCGGAGTCTTTGGTTTTCTGGGTCCCTGACTCTTCGTTTGTCTCCTGGAGTCATCTTAGGGGTGTGAGCACTGCCACCAAACCCAGGCCATTCCTCAAACAACCAGGAAAGAAATACACTTAGTAAGAATTCACACCCAAAATAAACATGCATTTTATATGCAACATATGGAATAGAAAAGTTGCATGTGCTCTTACTGTATTCAAGTTAATATGGGGTTTCCTAGGAGGTGCTAAAAATAAGGACCTGAAAATAAATATCAGGTGAAGGAAAGATAGGAATTGTCAAAAAAGAAGAGCTTATCCTTTAGTCCTTTATGAATTACTAGCACTTTTGCATTTCGTAAAGTTTCCTTTAGAGATTCAATAGAGTCAACTGTTACTAATCCATGTGGAGGTCAAATTCTGAGTCTTGCAGACAAAGAATGCATGTTCTATTTAATTTTATTTATTGGTCCCCCTGTGCTTGCAACTCTTTATAACCAACCTCCATATCTCTGCTACTCTGTCCTCCCTTTGCCACATTCCAAGTAAAACTTCTATTGTGCTATCTTTTGCCCCCCCAAAAATATCTTTTGATTATTTACAATTAGCATTCAATACTAGTAGATGTTGCAAAATATATAAAATTGAAAAAGCAAGCATTCCTTTATTATGGAGGTTACTAAATGAGTTAGATGTTAAAAAATAAGGATACATGGCAAGATATACATGCCAAGAGAGAAAGAGGGTTTATTAATCATGTGCTTTCTTTTCTGTATCGTTGATGCTTTGAAACCTTAACCTTGTTAGTCCTGGAAAGAGAGCTCCTCACAGGGCTCACCTGCAAGTGCACCTTTCATGTGCTAACCAGCCAACCCAGAGCCCTTTATCTGGCACTTACACTTGGGACACTGCCTTAGTCAACCCAAATGCCAGACATCTAAGAATGGCCCCTATCCCCAGAACCCACTGCAGTTATTCAAATTAGCCAACCCCAAGCCTTCCTGCACTACCTGACCTGTTTCTTCTGGTGGAAACCACAAAAAAAGGTTCTTGCCCACTTTTTCCAGCTCTCCCTCTGCCTCCTGACCCCGATGCTCCCAAATGTGCCCATCATGTGATATGCACCCTCCCCTCTTTTTGGGATCTGTGAGTAACAAACTATATTTACAGTGAAGTCATCTCATGCTCTGTTGGCCTTACTGTACCTGAATAATAATAATTATAATATAATATAATAAATATAATATAATATAATATAATATAATATAATATAATATAATATATATTTTAAAGAGAGAGAGAGAGATGATAAGTGAAGTGACTGAGTAAGCGAGTGAGGCTTGAAGAAGGATGTAGTATCAGTCCAGTCTATAAAACATGGGAAGGCTTTGGCAGGCAGAGAGGGAAGGCGCTATGTCCAAAGAAAAGCACTAGAAGAGAAACCAATATAAGATATCTTGTTCAGCAAAATGGTCAGTGGGGTGGAGTTAGATCACATGCAGCTTTATGTGGATGAGCTGTGGCTGATGCAGATTAATTCCACAGTGTGGATTGGAGAAGACTGAGCCTGCGTTTACTCTGAAGGTCACTCTGGCACCGGAAATAAGTCCACCTTGTTAGATAGGTGGGTAGGTGGGTAGGTGGATTGAACAATTTCTAATGCCATGTGCCTTTACATAAATCATCATCAGGTAGGATTTGTTTTGGGGGATTAAAGGGGACATGAATGGGGTGCAAAGAGACATGAGGGAGGCTAAGGCCTGGGCTGCAGAGGCCAAGTCAGATGCTGCATCTGAGGACCATATCCCAGACCAAGGTCAGGAATCGAGGGAACAGGCTGAGAGACGTGGTGACAACTGAGTTAAGGCAAGTGACTTAGAACTGAGCGTGGAGTCATATGAAGGTCAGAGACTTGATGTTCTGGATAGCAGCCATGTGTGCAGGGCCTGATGAGCAATGAAAGGGTCTGTTAGTACTTTGTTTCTTGGACTTCCCTCAGCAGCAGCCTAAGAGCTGCCATAATTTAGCTCAGCCCAGTAGGTTCCTCCCCAATAAAAACTGTCTATGTCTTTTTTACTACTTCTGTCTTAACCCACGCCCATCACATACACACATATCTTTCATTTTTAGGACCAAGTCCAGAAAGTACATAACCTACCAGTTACTACTTTCCTTGGGCTCCTAAGGGCACAGGTAAATTGGAACCACCTGGGAAAGTGCTACCAAGTCAACCTCTAGCCCAGTGATGGCGAACCTCTGACACGCGAACTCATTGTTTTGGTTGATTTTTCTTTGTTAAATGGCATTTAAATATATAAAATAAATATCAAAAATATAAGTCTTTGTTTTACTATGGTTGCAAATATCAAAAAATTTCTATATGTGACACGGCACTAGAGTTAAGTTAGGGTTTTTCAAAATGCTGACACGCCGAGCTCAATAGGTTCGCCATCACTGCTCTAGACCCTTATAAACATAATGTGCTAACAGGACCGAACAGGAATTCTTGCTGACTGCATCCCTGCCGTTACATACATCTTGATTTGCTGCCACATTTGTGGGCAAATTTAGGAAGGGAGAGTTTATTATGGAACTGCAAACCTACTTTATAGCTATCAAAAATAATAATAAGCAAAGCCACTTTAATTTTTTAAATTGATTTGAGAGAGAGAGGGAGAGAGAGAGAGAGAAATATCCATTTGTTATTCCACTTATTTATGCATTCATTGGACACTTCTTCTATGTGCCCCGACTGGGGATCAAACTCACAACCTTGGTGTAGCAGGATGATGCTCTAACCCACTGAGCTACACTGCCAGGGTTAAACAGAGCCACTTTAAAATGGAGTTGAAACTGTCTTCCCAGAGGAACAGTTTTGCAAGTCTTATACCTCAAATCTTTGACATGTAAAAACAGAACAAAATAACCTTTGGGCTAGTCCTAAAGCAACCTTATGTCCCAAAGAACTGTTTTCAAAAATAACAAGAAAGCAGATATTATGACTACTAAACTAATGCCAACCAGACTGAAAAGTAAAGGCATGTTTTACAATTAGCATTTACAGATAGCATGTTATGTTATCTGCACCAATAGAAATGCCTTCCTTCTATTGATGTAATTGCCTCCCTTCCCTTTCTCATAAATACCCCTTGTCTTTGTCTCCTAATCAGAACACTGTTTGGGCTTCCGCCTAAATCAGTGTGCCCTGAAAAGCTATTCTTATTGCTCTCAAATAAATGTGTGTTGCCTCTCACTTTGAAAGGTCTTGTATGTTTTGGTTAGCTTTAGACTGTGAGCCCCAAACATGTTGGGACTTATATCGAAACCACACATGGTGCCCAGAAGCTGCTGATTAAGTGGAGCAGCAGCCTGGCTGTCACTTCTTCAAAATTGTACAGCATCTCAAAGGGCACACACTCACCCCTTCATAGCTGTCATCTCTGTCAGACAACCAGGCTCTCGTTGGTTAAATCTGCCCTCTGCTCTGATCTTCTGATTGGGGCTTTGCTCTTACCATCTGCTTCCATGCCTGAGCCTCCACCCCTGCCCTGGAGCCATTTTCTGCCTCTTGGTTCTGCCACACAGTTCTGCACTGAGCTGTTGTTCATGTGGCCCAGTTCTGAGCACCAGTGTCCCCTTGCCTGGTGCCAACTGAGGTCTAGCATCCACCTGGGCCTCCTGGGGTAGGTCCTTTCCTGGAATCTGATCAATTCTTCCTCCCTTCTAGTCAGTCTCTGCTCTGAAGTATGACAAAGGAGAAGCTCAGATGATGTAAAATATGTGGGCAGATTTTGAATTGAAAGGCTTAAATCCACTGTGTGTTCTAAAATGTAAACTTTTGAATTCTCGTCTCCCTGTGGTGACTTCTGCGGGGTATGGTCGGGAGAAAGTGAACATCGATTATATGTTCACAGTTAACAGGCATTCTACCTGGGAAGACCACGTCTTCTGTGCCAGCTGTTGCCTCTGGGCACAGAAATGTTATTCTTCCAACAATTTGCATCAGTGGTTCTCAACCTTCTGGCCCTTTAAATGCAGTTCCTCATGTTGTGACCCAACCATAAAATTATTTTTATTGCTACTTCATAACTATAATGTTGCTACTGTTATGAATCGTAATGTAAATATCTGATATGCAGGATGGTCTTAGGCGACCCCTGTGAAAGGGTCGTTCAACTGCCAAATGGGTCGCGGCCCACAGGTTGAGAACCGCTGGTTTGCATGCTAACATGCAAGTAAGAGCTCATGCCTTCTGCCTCTCACTAAAGCAGAGTTTGGGGGTTCTCAGGACAGGCTGGGAGGTATCTGCTCCCCTACTACTGCTCTGGAGCCTGACAATCATGGCTTTTCCTAACATAAAAGGTAAGAGGAAACTTGAATGTAGCCCTGTTCCTTCACAGAGATAGTCCCAACCACGTGCTGGGACCTTGAGTGGGAGAGATATAGTTGTGAGCAAGACATTCCAGGAGAATGAAGGCAATAAACAAGGTTCCCAGCAAATACATGGTGTGATGCCAGGTAGAGGAAGAGAGAGAAAGAGAATAAAGCCTGATAAACAGAGGGATGTGATAATCTGTTCTGAGAAAAGTGTGTTTGATCAGAACTTCCCAAGTGAAAAGGCTGGGGAAAAATGAGGATGATATTGTCCAGGACTGTCTGATCAACAGTTTAATTTTCTAGAAAGTGACTTTTCAACATCTAAATTCGCACTTCATAATCAGTGTCTGTCCCTGCTAAGAGGGATCTACCCAGTGTTTGAGGCAGATAGAGTTTGAAAAAGCATAATCTATATTTGCATTCACTTAATTTATCTTAGTTATTATATATTTAGTTTATTCTTAAATTCCAAATTGTATCAAAGTGTGGACGAAAAAAGGGCCACGTGCTAACCTGACTAACTCAGGAGAGGCCTGTGAGGTGGCCTTGCAAACTCAAGAGACCTAAATAACCACAAAGGGTGGTCTGAAATAAAAACCTTTAATTAAAAAGCAATTTATAGTGGGTAGTCATATCCTAGGCCAGTATCTTCCCTGACAAAGATCAACTTCAATCTTTACTGAGCCTATTGTCTTTTTGCATCTTTAACATACTTGTGAAATGTCAGGATAACTAGTAACTCCCCTTTTTCTGGACCCCCTTAGGACACAACTAAGTGTTCCTGGGTGCCAGGACTGAGACCATAAATTCCCTCATTGTTATAGTTATCATGTTAATTGTTGACTGTTAACTATCCTGTATCCACCTAACTAAATGAAGTATGTGTCTATCATTTTACGTTTTATCCAATCCCAGAGCCCCCACTACCACTTGTTTTGCTCTCTCCAGCCTCCCTAACCTATCACCAATGGATTTTATGTAACTCACTTAAGTCTTCTCTTTTGATTGTAATGTATGAAACAAGGTGAAAAACTGCCATTCTCAGGAGCATTATCCCAATACCTTGAGATTCTGTTTCCTGGCACTTGTTGACAGTTTGGCTCAAATAAACTCACAAAAATTCTTTATAGCTTTGAATGTTTTTTATGTTAACAAAAGGATGCTACCAGACTTGTACACTTACCAATCTGAATTTAGAAAGACCAGCCAAATGCATCAGCTCTTTTGAGTGAACTGGTAGACAAAGCTAGAAAGTGAGAAGCTCTTATTTGAATTATACATAAGTAAAAATTGAGAATTCAGATTTTCCAAAACAAATTATTGCTTAGTTCTCAGGAATCAACGGAGACATTTTCATCCTAGTGATTTTACAGACCCACACTTTCTTCATTAAAGAAACATTACTAATAGGATAGTATGTACACTGGTCTTAATCTGTAAATACGACCATGTGGTTACTGATCTGGAATTTTGGAATTTGGGAGCTTGGATTTCTCCATCTCATGAAGATAGAATAAGACAGCTGAGCTAAAATTGCTCCATAATGGAGTCATGGTAATTAGCTGTAGATGGGGGGTGGGGGGGGTTGCCATTTGAATCTGTCCCAGGGCACTAACTACCACATACACTGTGGTGTTTGCAACATTGCAGATGAGATTCTATATCTCTGAAAATCATCTGATGTTTTCCAGGCACTTTTATAAACAGTAAGACTGGTTCTTTTCTCCCATGATTTGTGAGTCTGATGGGCAGTCAGTCCACTTAGTCAAGGTATTCACACATGAGATGTGATATGGGAAGATGAATCGGATTGGTCACAACAGATTTGCTGTGTAGTTCTTGGTCTCCAGTTGGCAGAAATGCTAAACTCTGTTCAAGGAAGCAATCTTTATTCTGGAATAATCACTGGAACTACTTCTCATGCAAATCAACTAGATTTGGAACTACTTCTCACGCAAATCAAGTGGATTTGGAAGCAAAGTTTTATACTGAGGAAATGTTGATATTCATGTTTAATTTGGTCTGTACTGATCTGATACTGCCAATTATTTTTCCCATTTGTTTTATTTTGTCAGAGTAATGACACCATTGTAATTAGCTAGTTATTAATAATAGGAAAGAAGCAAAGGAGGAAGCCAGACATTATAAGCATGTCATTTGGGCAGCTTCACCAGGAAGCTGCAACTTTGCACTCCCCAAGGAGCCCCCATTCTATTCACTGCAAAACACTGGGAGAAGGGATCCAACAAAGGGAAGATAGATCCATGCCCCATAAAGTTGGGGTAACATAGGGAAGGTACTTGCCTGTCAGTCAAACCTGGGGACAGGGATGGTTGGCCAGAAAGGGTGTGGCCACTGCAAGTGCAGGAAAATTTGGGACAACATTATCTCCTAAACAAAGGAGTTCACTCTCTTGTTGCTCTTGACATGCTTGACTTG